TTCTCAAGAGTATTACTCATAAACAAATTGAATGTAACAACAGATATGTGGCTTCTATACCTGGTATGCACCATTCCACTTAATTTGATAACATTTTACTCTTTAGTAAAATGGCATCATATCCAAGTAACTAGGGAAAAAACAATCCATACCCAGTTACAAATGATGACTTAGCCCCACACTATACGCCACAGTGTTATATAAATTATTTCTTGAAGCTTATTATGGATTTTACTTTCAAGACGATGTATTATAACCTGGTTACCTCGCTAGTGCTCTCTATCTTTAACCGACCAAGTACTAAAGAACCAGATAGAGTCGCATCTACTTGTCCATGTTTCAAGCGTCGCTAAAACCATACAACGATGCCCGTCGCACGTCTTACACTACAACACATCTAGATGTTTTGCAAACCCATTATAGTCACATGATCTTTGAATTTTTCCAAAGACAATCCCTTGGTCATCTGATCGGCCCCCATCTCTTCGGAGGGTATGTAGTCGACCTTTACCTCTCATCTCTCCACTATATCTTGTATATAGTGATAATTAATATCAATGTGTTTTCCTTTGGAACTATTTGCTCCACTCTTTATCAGAAAGATGGCGGACTTATTATCACAAAACACATTGACGTGTTCCTTAGGTATACCTATATTTAAATTATCGATAAATCGTTTAGCCCATACTGCAGTACTTACCACTGTGCTACAAGATATATATTCTGCTTCCATGGTAGATTTTGCAACACAGCTTTGTTTCTTACTTAACCAAGAAACAGCTGTTCCATCAAACAAGACAATGTTACCACTTGTTGACTTTCTGTCATCCAAGTCGCCTGCGAAATTTGCATCGCAATAACAAACTAAATCCAAATCATTTAATCTGAAACAAAGTTTCATACCTTGGGTGCCTTTTAGATATCTAATAATTCTCTTTACTGCCATCCAATGTTGCTTTCCGAGGTTGGATTGATATCTACTTACCAATCCAATTGCATGACATATGTCAGGTCTTGTGCTGGTCATAGCATACATCAAACTTCCAACTGCTTAGGCATACGAAACATTTTTCATATCAATGATGCCTTGCTTATGTACCAAACACATATTTTTGGAAAGCATCATTCCTTTACAAACAGGTGTACTAACTGGCTTGCAATCTTGCATATTAAATCTTTTAAATATTTTATCCATATAATTTTGCTGATCCAAATAGAGTGTTTTGGCATCTCTATCCGTAGTAATTTTAATTCCTAAAACATAAGATGCTTTTCCCATATCTTTCATTTCAAATTTGGATCCCAAATATGACTTATTCTTTTCAATCATATCTATAGAGTTACCTGCAAGTAAGATGTCATCTACATATAGTGATAATATACACAAATTATCTTGGCAGTTCCAAGAGTAAACACAATGATTCAATGGATTTATTTTATAGCCCATTTCCATAATAGCTTGGTGGAACTTCAAATATCATTGTCTTGATGATTGTTTAAGGCCATACAACGACTTTCTTAATTTATAGACTTTATTTTCATGTCTTTTGACATGATATCCTTCGGGTTGAATCATATAGATATCTTCCTTCAAATCTCCATTCAAGAATGCTGTTTTGACATCTAACTAATGAAGTTCTAAATCCATTCTAGCAACAATTGCCATAAGAATACGAATGGATGTAAACTTCGCAACTGGAGAGTAAGTGTCCACAAAATCTATACCGGTAACCCTTAGCTACAAGTCGAGCCTTAAACTTATCCAGGGTACTATCTGATTTGTACTTCTTACGATGTGCCCACTTACAACTGATGGGCTTTCTTCTATCAGGTAGATCAACCAATTTCCAAACTTCATTTTTCGTTATGGAATCTAATTCTTCATTCATTGCTTGTTGCCATTGTTCAGACTCAAAACTATCCATTGCATCTTTATCATTCCTTGGGTCTGGATCTCCCACTGAATCATCTACCTCCTCAAGATTGAAAACAAAGTGATCTTTCAATCTTCTAGATGGTTCCGTTTTTCTTTTACTCCCACTGATTTGATCATTTCTCCCACTATATATATATATATATATATATATATATATATATATATATCTTCCATTATAATATCATGATCATCATCCATGTGTGTGTCATGATCGACATTGTTATGATCATCCATGTTTACGTCTCTCACTTGATCATTGTCAATGTCATGATCATGAGACAAGTCTAAATTAAGATGGAAATCTTGATCAACCGTAGGAGAATTTTCTTCTCCCAAAGATTCCAATTCTTGTATGGGATTAATCAAATAAGTTTCAATAAAAGTAGCATATCTACTTTTGATCAATCCTTTCTCAAAATGATAAAACCTATATTCGTTACTATTATCAGGATATCCTATAAATTTACATTCCAAAGTTTTTGCTTGTAATTTATTTCTTAATGGCTTTGGAATGAGGACATGCGCTTTACAACCCCAAACTTTTAAGTTTGATAAATCGGGTTTTCGCCCATGCCATAATTCATATGGAGTGAGTGGCTTTGCCTTTGTATGAACTTTATTCAATATTTATGCTGCAGTAGCCAAAGCTTTACCCCAAAAAATGTAGAGGTAAGTCAACATAAGACATCATAGATCGCATCATATCCATTAGAGTTCGATTTTTTCTTTCTACGATACCATTTTGTTGCGGTGTATAAGGCATAGTATAATTATGCCTTATACCATTCTCTTTGCAGAAATCATCAAAGGCTTCAAATTCTCCACCTCTATCACCATTAAAGGTCTTTATGGATCTTCCTAATTGGTTCTCTACTTCTGCCTTAAACTCTATAAATTTGTCTAAGGCTTCATTTTTATGTTGCAAGAAGTAGACATGCCCATAACAGGAATAATCATCGATAAAAGTCACAAAATATTTCATTCCTCTATGGGTTTTAGTTCTCATTGGTCTACATAAATCTGTATGCACTATCTCAAGTAAATTTGTAGAAGTCCAATGCTGAGAAAAAGATTTTTGATTCATTTTTCCTTTAATACAGGATTTACATAAATCATGTGCATGTACTTGAGGCAACATTCCATTTTTACTCATGCGTATCATTTTATTTTTATCTATGTGACCTAAACGTAAATGCCATAAATATGACAAATTTTGAACAGTAGAGACAAATGCATACTTGGAAGAAATATTTTTATTAATACAAATTGAGTACATATCATCGACTCTTATTCCCCTTACATAAATATAACCCTTTTTCCCAATAGTGACAGCACCATTCATGAATCTTGTCTCAAAATCTTTCTTTTCTAGGACAGAGACAGAGACAAGATTCCTCCTTATATTTGGTGCAAACAGAACATTTTTAAGCATTCCTTCACCCAAAACATCGACATAAGTATTGTTACCCATGTAGGGACGATGTTCTCCTAGTGCTTTCTTCTTGAAATTGATGATGCAACTTTTGTCCTTGCATACATGACGAGTTGCTCCTAAGTCTATCCACCATTGTCCTTGATCTTCAGCAATGAGTGCTTCGGAGACTGTCAAATTTAGTTCTTTAGGATTTTTGTTGTTCTTGTGTTGTTTTGGGCAGTTATGCCTATAATGGCCAATCTCTCCACAATTGTAACATGCATTATCTTTTCCCTTAAACTTGTTCTGCTTGTGGTGTCCAAACTTTTTGAAGTTCGGGCGCTTGTTACTACTATGTGGCTTATGCATGTGTTGCTTGTTTTTCTAAGAATCTTCCGCTATGAGGAGGTTGGCTCTGCCTTGTTCAGTTTCCTTTTTCCTATAATTTTTACGAACTTCTTCAATAGCCAACATTGCAGGCAATTATTCATCGTTAATTCAACTTGACCATAAGTCATGGAAGGTAACTACATTTTCCCAAGAATTAGGGAGGCTACCAAGAAGAACACTAACTTGCATTTTATCAGAAACTGAATGGCCAGCATTGGCTAAGTCTTTTGCCATTACTTCCGTTTTAGTAATATGATCGACCATAGAATTAGTTTCCTCCATTTTTGTCCCATTGTATTTCTCAAGCAATAACTGAATGTACGTTTGAGATTTAGGGTCATACTTTTTTTCAAGTACATCCATGATTTCTTTGGCCGAATCATATTCTTCATAGAGAGGTATTAATTGATCTTCCATGTAATTGAGAATTGTAGCCTTAGCCAACTCATTATCTTCTACCCATTTACCATAAACTCGTGAGGGCCCAAGGGGTCTTTCGTCCTTGATAGTGTACAAAGTCTTGTCATGGGTTAAAAGATAAGTGATCATTCTCTTCCATATTCGATAATTAACGTTATTCAACCTCTCTATTTTAAAAACTTCGGATGTGGAAGATTTAGTAGCCATAACTCAGAAAATTACAAAACAAACACAATACTTAATACAAACTTAAATACAAATACGAATACTACTAGTGTACTTTTAATTATTACAAGTCACAAATACTAAATGTTCTTAATAAATTAAAGAATAAAAAAATAAAATAAAATAAAAAATAGAGATTTATTTATTCTTAGCAGTAGATACCGCATACACTCACAAAAACTTTTTCTAATTATTGAAAAACGAGTATTTGTTCAGACGATCACATGGATCGAAGGCTTTCTTACTTGTCTACTTGGGCAGGTGGGATCAATTCTTCCTCTCTTTTCTTGATCGTGACTTTGTGATGGACACCAAAAGAACTGTTGCCTTTGATTTCGTCCCCACGTGATGCCTTTGAAATATCACCAAGACTTTTGACTTTTGTGTAGTCTCCACGTGAAACCTCCCCCAAAATAAATTCGACTTCTTTATTTTCAAAACAATCTTCTTCTTCTTTATTTTCAAAACAATTCCTCTGAGAGAGAAAACCGGTTCCACTGTCTGCTTTCTCTGGAAAAAATTTGTTCCGCAGCCTGGCGGATAATCTTGAACGGTAGAGACAATTCTCCTTGGCGGATAACGGTGTCGGCGGTATTATGTATTACCGCGAAACGACGAGACCACGGGGAAGAACACCACCACGCTGTTGCCTGCTTTGGTTCAGTGGGTTGCCGTGGCGAGTCTGGAGCAAGGCGCGAAAATCGCGGGTTCAGTCTCAGATTTGTAGCAGTCAGTGAAAGACTTCGAATCAATCGCTATGTGGCAGGTAAGCTTCTTGGGTTTTGTGACCAAATTGCAGATAAAGGTTCTGAAATTATGGGTCTAAAAGGACTCTGCAGGTCTTCAATTTTCTGTGCAGGTTTGATCTTTGCAGCCAGAAACCCCGACTGGAATGGGTTGTCTAAGGGCTTCATGGGACTGTAAAAACTTTCTGAATTCTGATAATTGTTGGATGAATTTGTATGATAAAATGGTTTATATTCGGAAAGAATTTTGTACTCTGTCAAATGAAACGGTGTAGGGGAATAAAGTTCAAATTGTTGGGTTAATTCAGGCCTAGGTTCAAATGGGTTGTAAGATGGGATTTCGAACGATTGGGTATTTTTGTGTTTGGATTCTACAGGAAAACTCTCAGATGATGATTTCGAACTTTCGATCAAAATCGGTTCAATATTCTCCTTGGTCACCAACGCCCTCTTCCCTGATTTCTTCTCAAGTTGAAACTTAGAAAGAACGTTGTGGGATTCGTTACTTGACGAAGAGGAAGTCTCGATGTAGTCCTCGGATGAAAACTGGGCAAATTGTTTTGATTCATGAAAACCTGGCTCTGAGGCCATTGATAGAAAATTAGGTACATGATCGGAAACAGATGTCGTGGATCACAATATGGTCGGAAGAATATGAACAGAGAGCGAATATGGAATCTAATTGAAATCTGACAGAAAGAGATTTGACAAATATATAAAGGTGGAAGTAACCTTTCTAGAGAAGTTTTGTTCTTAAGGAGAAGTTACAACTTGAAATACAACTGTTCATATCCTTTAATTAATTAATTAATTATATTATATTGTCTTCTTTATTAATTAATTTATTTATTTCGTTACAATCATATGTAGATTAGTACATCAATATTATTGTGTATCTTCACATATGATTACATATATTGTGAAAATCATGTTATCATAATCATATTCCAACAGTTACACCAATATTCAGATAAAAATGTGTAAATGCATATATGCTAACTCGTCCACTTACTACTTATATGAAATGAGAAGTTGTATTATGTTACTCATGCAAATCCAAGATGTGTGCACTTTCTGTTAGCATTAAACTTATAGAATAAGTCCGCTTTGCTCATTCAATCTGCACGTGCGAAAAATAGTGTCACATTCTCTAGTACACATGAATCTTGTTAAGCAATAATGAAATCAAAACGTATTGACATACGACTACTATAAACTAACTAAATCATTATTTGGCAAACAGTGTAGCTAAATGATACAAACCAGCTGCAGCAACAGGAGCACCAATACCCGTTTTCTCTGCTTGTGATTCTCCTTCATAATTCTTCCAGCTGTGGATGAAGGTGTGCTGTTTACATCTTGAACTGGCTAGGATCCATGCCTTCAATAAGAAATATCTTTTTGCTTCCCAATCGAGGTTGTAATTTTTTTATACACGTGGTGGCCCCTTTTGTAGCTAAAAGTGTCGGCTCTCATAGATGGGACTGCTATGCAACATATTGGTTGCTTAATGCAATATCATTTAATGTAAACGTTTCGATTCGGATTTAATAAAATTTTTGCCAATTGCCCCAAAAAAAATTTTGGTTTCATTCTCTGCTCTTAATGAGTCACATAGCAAACAAAAGTGTGAAATTATTACAGCACAAACGTTATCATGATCATTTAGGCATCATCACTTTATTAATTTTGTCCCATGCATTAGAGTGAATTTTTTTCCTCAAGATTTCTCAAACATGCAAAACCTTGGGTTCACAATACTAAAACCTCCATCCACCAAAAGATTATGCCCACTAACATACTTTGACTCATCACTACCCAAGTAAAGGGCAGCCTCAGCAACATCTTCTGGCCTAAGAACCTTCCCTTTAAGGTTGGAATAAACTCCATGCACTCCATCGTCTTCAAGATTGAAGAAGTGCTTCGCCAACGGCGTTGCAACTAGGTATGGTGACACGCAATTTACACGAATACCGTATTGTCCAAGCTCAACGGCCGCATTTTTCATTAGCCCCACTACACCGTGCTTCGAACTTGTGTAGGCATGTGAAGCACTTCCGCCCATGGTAGAACAAACACTAGCAGTGTTGATTATGCTGCCTTGTCCTGCCGGTATCATCACACGAGCTGCATGTTTAATCCCCAAAAATGCTCCGAGTAGATTTACCCTAATCACTTGCTCAAATTCAGCCTTGCCATTGTCGAGGATATTGGGTTTGGGTGTGCCAATTATGCCTGCATTGTTGAACATGATGTCTAGCTTTCCATACTTGCTTGTGGCTGTTTTAACTGCATTTTCGATGTCTTCTTCTTTTGTTACATCGCAATGGACGAAGGAAGCGGATGAAGAATTTAGATCTCTGCAAACAGATTCACCCAAGTCGTCTTGCACATCCGCAATCACAACTTTAGCTCCATGTTTTGAGAAGACTCTTGCTGTGGACTCCCCTATGCCGCTGGCTCCACCAGTGATCAGTGCCACTTTGCCTTCAAGCCTTCAACATTGAGGAATAATTTTACTTTCATATTAGTCTAGTTTCAACAAAACATTTAATTAAAGGAAATTTAGTTGTTATTAGTAACCAGATAGCTTAGGGACCTAATTGTCCAACAAAAATTGGTGATCAATTTTTGCTAACAATATAAAGGAGCTGTTAAGGCACTCTAATTAAAACGTCATTTGCCCTCCAAGCATTTAGAAATATAAGAGAAAAATCACAGTTGGGAGAACGTAAAATAACGTTTTTGTAGTGGCTTTAACAACACCCTAAGATAATGAATGAGTTCTTTAAAGGAAAAAAAAAAAAAAAAAAAAAACAAATGAATGACCTATAACAACTATTAGGATGAAGTTTAATGGAATTTTGACATCTAAATTCCAAATTTTATTATAAATGAAATTAAAAAAAAAAAAAAAAAAATTGTTCATGAATCTGTAAAACCGAATTAATACATCTCGATTCAGAAATTCCAACTTGTATTCATATTCCAATTTTATTTCTCTTGTTGAAACGCAAATAAATACAAGAAAAAAAAAATAAAAGAAGAAATAATGTAATGTGCAAATTTGCAACTATTAATTCCAATACATAAAGGAGAAAAAAGAAAAAAGAAAAAGCAACATCTTCTTTAGAACTAGATGCGATATGCCATGCTCATGACACAAGGCCATCATAGAAAATCGAATATTAAATAAAGAAAAATGGAATTTGGTAAATGAAATGTTCTAAATTACTCGTATATAGAGGAATTTGATCAACTAGGACAAATCTTCAAGGGGAGGAATTCAAACTTAGATGAAATAACATATTGCTCTAACGAACTGATATGATTTGTCGTCTTTAAATAATTATCACTATATAATTTGTCATTTTTTAAATTAGATAATTTTATCATCTTCATACTATAATCTAGTGATATTTCTATTTATTTGTGAGAGATCTCAAATTCGAATATTGTCGAGTTCGAAAACAATTTATTCCCCCAATTCATAGTCTAAATATATTGTTGTATAAAAAAATAACAGCCACTAAAACCTTAAAGCATAATTACAATTTTATCTTCGACAAACGATTGTTAAATGTTAGGAATGAGTTAAGGGAATCGGTGGGGATTGAATCTGCATTAGAATGTATAAACATTATTACTTTATGCCATTGCAGTAAAAACTCACCACATAATTATAAATTTTTATGATTAGATACATTAGTAAAACAGTATAAATTAACATACACAATACCATTTTATTTTATTTCCTTCACTAGACAACTTATATGGTAAGATCAAATCTCGCAAGTTCACTGGTTTGATGGGTAAAAGGAGTACATAGAAGAAAACATGCACAATACCTTCTTGCAGCAGCAGCAGCAGCTGCTGTGACTAATGAGAAGGTTCCCATATTCTTCGAAAAAGATTTAACCTCCTCCTCTTCTGGAACAAGTGAATCACTTCCTGGAGGTGGAGACCTTCGTTCCATCTTATGCTCAATAATTTAGTTGCATCGTACCTTTGTAGCAGCCCATGTGAATTGCGGGCCATGCTTATCTGTCGTACCTTTTGTTTTTTTTTAATCACATGTATGGTATGTAACCATCTTATTTTTTTCGTTTCTGAGGACAACAACGAAATGGTTACGCTTCGGATATAGGAATCAGTCTAAAATCACGTAACAACAATTTATTTTGAACTCGCTATTGATAAGAATTGAACCTACACATGTAAAGTCCATTCTCTCATGAATATGAGATTCATTCTCCACACAAATCAGGTGACTTGGAGTATCTGCAGCCGTTGAGCTTCACTCGTCAGACAACTTGTTTTGATACCATATATAAAGTTAAAATTCTACCATAAAACTAGGCTTGTCAATTCTTGACAAGACCCGATAACTCGACACAACACGAAATTAACAGGTGTTCAGATTGACACGATAACGAATAGAGTTGTTATCGGGTAACCGGATAAGCATATGTTAAGATAACGGGTTAGTTCGTGTGTACACGTGGGTAACACGATACAAGATAAGCAAAATATTAATTTTATAATTTTATAACCCTAAAAAAATACTATAAAATTATATATTTTAATTTAACAATTTTATACCCCTAAAAACTATAATAATTATATATATATATTAAATTAAATTAAATTTAAAAAATTGGTGACCATTGGATCAACTGAGATTTAATCTCAACCGTCCATTGTGCATTAGGTTGGAGGTTATCCTTCTCTTCTCTCTCATTCACTCTGATCTCTCCAGTCTAGACTTACTCCCGTGCCGTCTCCTTAATCCGCATCTCTCTTACATCCTTCTCCATTCACTTCTCATAATTCGAATGGTTTTTAATGTTTGGTTTTTCTATACTTAGTTTAGGCAGAAGAGAGTTCTAACGTGGAAAACCTTACTGAAAACATCATCAACATAACTCTTAAAGGCAATAGATCAAGCTAAAGTTCCAATACAATTTTCTCATGATGATCGATGAAAATTGAGGATTTTGTAAAAGGAATAACATGCAAGCTTTGAGTTCCATTGGCAAGATTTAAACTTTTGAGAAAGGCTTCATAACCTTGAAAAAAAAAAACTCTTTCATTTTGCATATCCTTGCACATTTAATATTTTGTAATAGACTAGTAGTGTATGAATGTTTTTTTATTAGGCTCTTATTTTCGAGTGTAGATGTAGTACTTAAACAACAAATGTGTTTTAATGTTTTAAAGTAATATTTATGTGGCAATGTGTGGTATATGCAAATTTTAAAAAAAATATATATTTTTCTTAATGGGTCATAACAGATCATAACGGGTCGGGTCATTTTACTTGTTGGGTAAAGTGACCCGACCTGTTAAGATAACAGGTGTGACACGACACGACATGATCCATTAAGTTAATAGATGTTACACGAACACGATAGACATGACCTATTTGTCAAACCTACATTAAACCAATTTGCAATATCAATATGGAGAGTAGCTCAATTACTTATAAATACATGCAAAATATCTTCTCACATTAATATAAAATTCATTCTCAACATTTATAAATAAAAAAATTTAAGTTTGCTATCAACAAGTATAATTGTATATAAAAGGGACTCCCCAACACAATTCTTTGTTTTTTGTTGAGACGTATACACGTGAAAAATGTGAAAGTTTGCCAACACAATTCTTTTGTTTTTTTATTGAAACGTTATACACGTTAATAATGTGAAAGTTTGCCAACACAATTCTTTTGTTTTTGGTAAAGATGCCAAAATTATATACGTACGACACAATAGGGACTCCCCAACATCTTTTCGTAACTCTCTAGATTTTTCTTTTTTTTTTTTTTTTTAAATAAAATCAATATTATTAATTACATTAAGAAAAAGTGACAGACTTAACCTCACAATAGGTAAGCAATAATATAGTTCAAATTCGTATTTGACAAAAATCAAACATAAGACCTCTCACTTACAAGTGAAAAGGAATACCACTAGATCGTAGTACTAAGTGACTTTTTAAAATAAATATTGGTAGGCCACTTAGTATTATAGTTTAATAATATTGGGAAATTTGAAAAAAAAAAACCAAAATCTAGCTTTTCTCAAAGTGGCATCCTAGAAAGCTTCGTTTCTGCCGAAAAGTAAAACGTTGTTTCTTCATATCTTGTTAACTGAGAGAAAATTACCTCATTAGCATAAATTTGCTGGCAATCTCTAGGAATTCAAATGAAACCCAAAAGCCAAGTTTACAATCCTGTCCCAAATGTAGCTTTGCTCAGGGCATGTTTACTTGGTAAGGGATAATCAGAAGGCGGATGAAGTTTGGATATTTACGGGGTGTAGAGAAAACCTGGAAAGAAAACGGAACCATACGCAAAGAAAACTCATCCCCAAATCAATTTATGTTGCTGCATTCCCTTCCACGTGTATGATCCAGACTTGTGACTCCAAAAGCAAACAACAAAAATGTCAATTACTTTGGGTCATATTGTATAAGCAGAACATAAGTACCAAATTAGAGAAGGAAGAGTCGAAGAGATCTATGGTTTACTATGGAAGAGAATGTAGTGGAGTTGATTGGAGAACTGT